TTTTTATTTAATATTTTCACTTTTAACTATCTCTATGGCTATCTAGTAGAAAATCCCATACAAATCCCTATAAATCGATATGCAAATTGTGTTCCTTGTGTGGTTCTCAAAGAGAGCTTGGGCTGCCTGTGGTTACAGGAGAGTCTTTCATTCGTTGTGAATGGCGAACCTTTGCAACAACAACATGCTTTTCAAAAACCAGGTAACCTTTGACTGAAGCAACAAACCCGGATACCACTTGATTGTAAGCTTCTAGACTCTTGTAATTTTTAAACTGTTCGGTCGTGTTATAACTTGTCTCTAAAACCAAGAAACTAAACAAGTCCAACTGTTCAACCGAGGTAAATTCTCTGCATCGAGCTCTTCTTCGGGGATCGTGACCGGATCAATGCCTATTTTCGCTATCTTTTCGATATATCGTTGCTTTACATCATCCTTAAGAGACACAGCATACTTGGATAGAACTGGTACCGACATTTAAGATCATTTAGAAGCGATTTTTAACATATGAATAAAGAATTACTATAGAACTAGCCTTGCTCAGCATATATTTCATACATTAATAAACGAAATGACAAGAAACTAGATTTTGTTAAAATAATGAGTATTTTTGAGTTTTTCTTGTTTTTAATTATGTGCTCGTGGCTTCGTAATTAGGATATATCAACAAAGTTGAAATGGTAAATTGGCCACCGTAATGATTACAAAAGCTGACGTTTCGAGCGTTAGCCCTTCGTCGGAGCTATTTCGAAAATTAGTATATCTATATTTATCTATTCACTTTTGTAACTGACATCTGTACCTTAGTAATTGTTATTTATTTTTTGTCATTAGAATAATATTACATTAATATGTAATTGACACGTTTCTCATACTACCTGCCTCGATTAGCTTCGCTATTTTGCAGGTAGTCTTTATTTATAACCTAAATTGTGAGTATAAATAAAGCTGTTGTTGACATTTCTTCTAGATAAGACTGCTGATAATGACTCTCATACGTACCATAATGGCACCAAGTTTGGCACTGCTAATACACGGGATAACGCAGCATTAGTAAGTGCAGGAGGCTGGTGGTACAATGAAACGAAATGCTCTGGCCGTTCAAACCTTAACGGTGCTTATCGGAGACCTGGAAACAGCAAACTTCATTGGGGACGTCTAGATTCTAGTGATGCTGTTTATGGCAGCACTCCCTCAACATCTGAGATGAAAATAAGACCAGTAAATTTTTCTGAAAGCTATCTTACCAATTAGTTCGTCCACCAATAATTTTTTATTCCCAAAGAGAAAAAATTCGATGTGAAAGAGTTGATCTTTTTTAAAATATCGTTAAACGATGTCAAAATTGATCAAGGTTCGCCATAGTGAAGTGATATATAATGTCGTCAAAATAAAGGAAAATATTTACACCATGCTTCTACCGTTATTTTTGCCGCCTCATGGAATTGCTAGTTGTCTCTTTAAAACGGTCTGTTATTATAAGTTCGAGTTCGCTAAATCGTTGAACTGGAAAAGGAACTTTTAGCTTCTCACTAATGCTACCCTTGCTTGTAGATGTCAATCGTCTCTCCTGACCGGGTTTGTCTGATACCCAACTAATCAGCTTGAGACTCTGCAATATTTATCGTTCTTTCCGACATGAAATATATCAGCAGGAAGTAGTTTGTGGGAAACATTTAGAGAGCCGGAGCAGTTCCCAGAAGAGCCTCACTTCAAATACATTTTTTATTTTGAGTTTTTCATCTCACAGGCAGCGCAAGCTCACTTCTAGAAAAGCGGACGTGACTCTTACCGTGCTGCACAACGGTTTATATTTATAAAGACACAAAACAAGACAATTTTTTTCTCTCTTTTAAGGCAAGCCGATAACATCCCATACAAACCTTTATAAATATAAAACGTTGCGCAACACGGTAAGAGTCACGTCCGCCGTTGCTAGTAGTGAGCTTGGGCTGCCTGTGATAAGATATCGTAATTTATCGCAAGCATTCCCCAAGTATTCAAAGCGCAATTGTCTAAAATTATACTTAACACCATTAAGCAACGTTCTAATGATTTTAGTCGATACTTGTAAATTGTGTTGCACTGTTTGGCTGATACTCAACTGATCACCTTATGTAACAGAGTCTCTGCAATAATTATCAATCTTTCCGAGATTAAATATGTCAGCAGGAAGTGGTTTATGGGGGAGATTAAGAGAGCCGGAGCAGCTCCCAGAATAGCCTTACCTCTAATACATTTTTAGGTTAGTTTTGTCATCTTTCTACGCTCGTGGCATATACGATATCCTAATCTATCGCAAGCAGTCCCCATGCCTGCAAATTTAAAGACACTGCGCAATTACCCATTTTGATATTTAATACTGTTAAGGATACTCAAACGATTCATTCAGCCTAAGTGGAATTTGATATGTTCTTTACGAATTAATTTAGTTACGGATGTGGTTACGTTGTTGTCTATTCTCGATTGGTTTGTAATCAGATATTTTAGCGTCCCCACGCGCGTATAAAAGCCTCGTTTAGCGTCCCTTTAGCCAGTGTATGATTGTATTTCGCCTTGTCCATTCTATCTGTTCGACTCGCCGTTTTTGGTTCTTAACCTTTGGCACAAGCGGGACCGATATGTGAGTAATTTTGCTAGTTTCTTCCTTTGATTAGTTTACTTGTTTTGGGTGGAAGCAGGCTAACGTACAGAGTCGCACAATAATACAATTTATTGTTTTCAATCTAAAGGGGGCGAATCAAAGAATGAGACGCTAAGCTGGGAACGCCCATTTTGTTAATCTTACAATCGATTTAAATCTCGAGTTATTTTGATGTAGCTTATTATGATTTTCGAGTATTCCTGTTGATTGTTGTTAATTTTGATCGCGTTATCGACGGAGGCAGGTTAATTTTTCTAAGCGTTTTTGTTCACGAGTTACGCAACGTTTTAAGTAAATTGCATTGTTATTTCAATTTACGATCGTGATCGTGATTGCCTATCGTGGTTCGCTAATCGTTTATCATCATGAAATCACCGTTAACCGTCAACCTTGGTTTTCCGTGGTTATTGGTACTTGAAGCACACGACCTGTAAGATAGTCCCGTAGCATTAACACGCTTTAGCGACACCCTTCGACTTCGATCTCGTTTGTCGCAAGCGTCACAGTAAAATATCGTCACTTCATTTCGCCAATTGGTTATGAACCGTAATTGATCATCGCTTCAATTTTTTTTTTGCCTTTTTTTGTTATTTTGTACGACATGAAATTGGACAGACGCCTCCAACTGAGCCGGCAGGAAATCCGTTCGTTGGTTTGTTTCGTAGTGACTGAATCGTAAAACGCAGTTTGCGATGGCTTAAGTAAAGTTCTGTGGCACGCCGAAGTCGGAAGTACCACTAAGCGAACATATGATTCAATATTGTAACTGATGCAATTGCCTTTGACACGTCCGAATCATCAACGTGATTGTGCTTTTGAGCATAGACACACTTTTCAAAGAGGAGAGGATAAAAGAAGTAATGATATGTTCTATATGTCTCAGTGGAGCTTATTGAAGCTAAACACTACATTTCCACACCTTATTGATCTCGTCTAATCTGGATTAATTACGCAAATTGTTAACCAATTTTCAAGGTCAGGTAATCAAGGGTAGTCTTGAACAGAGAGTAAATCAAAGACGAAGTGATCCGTTATCTAGACTTACCGATAAAATTACAAAACAACTATTCGCTTACAGAATCTAAAAATAAAACTCAGGCATTCATTTATCTCTCGATCCTGCAAGTTTCTCAATCTCTCGCCTGGTAACTTTATTGATTTATCGAGGAAATGAAATAACTTAAAGAGACCATGTTACGCACGATGGTCAGCCGGCTGAGTTGAGTGGACCGTGTTTTCATCTCCGTGTGAAATGCAATACAATTTTACCGGCAATCTCGACAAGGTTACAGTTTTTCATCCAAGCTAGAGGCTATCTCAATGTACTTAATTAATGTTCAACAGAATAAGCCTGGCATTCCCCTAGGAATTGAAATTAAACGAATCTTCCAGCTTCACTCCTGGTTTAAGCAATTTAAACTTTACTTTTGAAAGATCAAAAATTAAGCACCTTGTTACCAGCACCAATATTTATTAAAGGCTGTTCTATTTCATTTTTAAATATACTTTAATATATCTTAATCGCTTCAAATCTGCTGTTTGTTACTCTAACTTAAGATCGTAAAAATTTTAGTCTTCCAAAGAAATTTAGTTTCTCCTTTTAAAGTGCAAAAGAAAGATTCAAAATTTACAATAAAAAATCTGCTCCTTACCTCTTTCCTATCATTGTTTTCATAAAATGTATTCCTACTTCAATTAAAACAAAAGCATTGAAAGCATTTCAATGGTTGGTTATATATCACCAACTGTTTTTTTATTCACTTTAATCTGCAATGCGTATAGTACTTACAATGCATAAAGTAGTTACAGACCCCTCAATTACATCTAGTCAGCAAAATGATAACCAAGAGATATTTAAGAAAAGTTCACAGGTGTGATCTTCATTTCAGTAGTCGTGGGAGCACTGCCAACAGCCATTTTGGGATGTAGATTTGCCCAATAGATCTCGCCCCCTCTACCAAGCTGATAGATTCCGTTGAGATTTGAGTAGAGAGGTTTTCCACAATTCTTACTGCTGTACGACCAACCTCCACCTAGCTTTTTTTGTTACACATCCAGGACCAGTGGGATCTCTATCTCAAGTACCAAATGGGAGGCCTTTGTGACGCCCGAGACCATCACGTTCAACATTGTTATCTGGATAAAGAGAAGTTGCAAAAAAAAGTACAAATACATCATTATAGGCCCAGTACCAAGAGGAATCTCTGGCCTCTGACATTATAATGCGCTATAAAGGCCGGACAGAGAGTTTTCGAGAATATTTAACCAATCAGATTGACTTACTTGAAAGATTGCCGAGGCTCAGCGTGTAGTTGCTATTCTTTTCCCCAATGGCAAACGACGCGTGTTCAGTGTAAACAACATTCATATTGCTCACTCCTAGATCTACTCGAAGCTTGTTTTCTGTCTCATTCTGCGTCAGGAGGTTAATCTTGTTAAGTCCGCGCCAAAATTCACCAATGAGGAAATTACCGAAGCCTTTTGTTTAGTCATCCCAGGTGCGGTTGAAATCAACAGAGCCATTCTGTCTCTTTTGGATGACTTTCCAGCCTCCACCAGCTGTTGTCTGGTCACAATATACATCAAAGGCACCTTTACCATCAGGGTCGATTGTATAAACACCACTTATGGTTTTTCCCCAATACTCATAAGCCCTTCTGTACAGCTCAGCACAGTTCTTAGCTGTTAAGGGATAAAAAATGAATTTTTAGAAGTACCAAGGAAACAGAATGTACGAGGAAAAGAAGAAAGAATAGGAAATCAAGTAAAGTAAATAATGCAACGAATAAACGATCGATAGAAAATTTTTTACAGTTCTGAACACGTGGAGAGCGCTACAGTGCAAGTAGAATTGTTCTCCGTAAGGAATTGCTGAATTCCAACGCCAACCTAGAAAACCATTCTGCCACTATGTAAACAACCGTCTTATTCAAGGAAATGTAATCCAAGGGTTATCATAATATACCAAAGCATAGATTCTTACTCACATTTCTAGGGTTCTGTGTTGTTGTTTTTGTAACTTATCGAAGCTGCACGAGTTGAAGGTAACAATTGAATCATGAAGAAGAGTGCCACACTGAGCAGCAAAGAAGAATTATGTGAAGCAGACATGATACGATTCAATTCGTCTCCCAACCTTAAAGCTGTAGATCTCGAAATGTATATGCAACACAGTTGTAGATTGAAGAAATTTCAATTACTCAAACCTGTATTTCTACAGCAGTTTTCCACGTTAACGTAGCAGGACGTAGGAAATATAGACGCGATGAGAATGTGCTAAAAGAAAGGTGTGTTTCCCGGGTATTTTCCCCAACACTCATAAGGGAGAGGTTTCCTGGAATAAAAAGCATCCGTGTTTCTTTGCTTGTATTCACATAAGAGGTTCACAAAGATTTATGAAATATTTTGGGTCAAAATAAGCGTGAAGCTTGCTCTTCTTGTGTGAAAGATATCTCCTTTGCTCACACAAGCATCAAGCTAGCACAATTCTGAGGTGAAGCCTCATTAACCCTTACAAATAAATTAAGTGTTTCATCACTATCAGACTATGATTGTATGAAAGAGATAAGGACTTACAGAAATTAATTTATACATCGTGCGTGATTCATAT